TGGGTGTCCTCTTCAAGACTTAACTTCCCCTGGAGAGACAGTGCTGTGGCTGTGACTGCTCATCACTGTGTCTCATCACTGTGTACTGCCCAGTACCTGGTAAACAAGTGACCAATATACAGGTTTTGAATGGAAGAATACTTCAAAGCTCAGACTTTTAATCATTCTATAATATAAGAAATGTCTTGAAATATGTTATTTAAAAGAAATACACAGGCCAGCCCCATGGCCTAGTAGTTAAGAGAGTCAGATACCATAAGGCTGATCATGATTCAAACCCCAGCCCCAGTGACTTGATAAACACACTGGGCACAGGTGCATATATAAATATATATATATATATATATGTCCCAAAACCTGACAAAATGGAGAAATGGAAGGAAAGAGATTGCTACATGGTCCATTTGGAAGCGCTTTCTTCCTTACCCTTACCCCTTTTTTTCTCTGGCGAGTGCACATACCCTCTGGCCATAATAAAAAATGCACGTTGTTTTGTTATTAATGGAAGGAAAGTGTATGATGGCAACCACTTCAGAGCTTATACACACTGAAGAATCAGATAATTTATTGACCCCGAGTCAGAGTTATGCTATTAAAAATTGGCTAAACAGCCTGAAAAAAATTAGAGGAAATTATTTTGATGAGTGATAAAGAAAGGAAAGAGTTATTTCTATAAGTATTCGAGATAATGAAATATCATGTTCAAAGACTTTCCTGTCCTTGTGACACTTATGAAGTATTTAAAGACCCACATACAACCAAGTAGGATGAAAACATGTAACCTCCAATTTAATCAAGCCGCCCATGGCCCTCTGCTAACCCTGTGTGTTTTATTACATGTATGCTATCATTAATTAGGTATGCTGAGGCCAACAGTCAGGAGTTACAGCCATTGAAAATGTAGGTTAATACACCCTATAGCAAAAGTCTCATTAAAAAAAAAAAAAAGAAAGAAAAGGTAGATTATTGCACTCAGAGATCTTAAGAGAGGGAGTATATGTCTCACCACAGGGAACCAAGAGGGAAAGCACTGGGTTCAGTCTCAAGGTAGATGGAGAGAGGGGAACTGAGGGCAAGGACTCTTATTTTGATTTTCACAGGAAAGAATGGGCAAGGCAGGGCCAGCAGGTTTAGGGTTGGCCGCTTGAATAATAGGCCAGTTTAAATAATTGGCTTCTCAGCTAAGTCAGAGGTTATATGCTCTCTCTCTACTTGGCTGTAGGTGAGTCTTTCAATGCTTCCTAAGTATCACAGAGACAGGACAGGTGTGATTAGGCCATTGAGTGAGAGAGCCCAAAACAGAGGTGCCTGGGAGTGTGGACTCTGGATTATTGGTTTGTATTTGAAAAGTGCACCCCTGGGAGAGTGACCCCACCCAAGGAAGGGGTGGGCGATGGCGGAAAGCCAAGGCCAAGTGACTCAGAATTATCGGTTTCTCCAGAGCAAGGTTTGCCTGGCATGGCATGAGGAACAGCTGTTAAGGCATCAAGTACACAGAAGCTAGAAACATGGCTAACCACCTTGGCTGACCCACTTTGTACCTTTTATGAGGTTTATAATCTGCTCTTCATTCCCAACAACAGTGAGGGTAATAACGGGCCTTATTCTCTGAACTGAGGTCCTGGAGTTCCAAAGCTTGATGGCTGAGGTTTGAATCCCTGTTCTGACATATAGGGCCTATGAAACCTCGAACAGGTTGCTTCTTCTCCTTTTGTGCTTCCTGGTGCTTTTTTACAGTATGCATGTTTCTATTATCTATTTATTGCCTGGGTCTGCTACGAGGCTCCAAGGCTGGGATCTTGTTTCTTCTTTGTACGTCTCGAAATCTCGCACAGCACAAGGCAGACAGTAGGTGCTGAGTAAATATTTGTAACTGAATGATAGAAGAGTGAATCCACTAGCTGGTTTTCCAAGCAGAGCCATACATCACTGCTCAAGAAGCCGTAGAGCTCTGCACATTGTGCTAATTCGGAGCCTTTGTCCTGAAAGCAAGTTGACTAAGCACAGATTTATTCCTAGCTTACATAGTAATTTCATCGGCATTTAATGCTTAAGATGTAGAACCTAATGGCAATTATTGTTCACTGAGATGTCAGAAATTATTTATTTATTTATTTGAGAGAGATTTTTGCTATAGGGCACATGTAGAGACAGGCAGAGAGAGACAGAAAGCGAGAACTCACCCACCAGGGGTGATGGCCATACCGCAATCCCTTCTCCTCCATTCTCCTCTTGGGATTTTGGGTGTGCACACATACTCACCTGGTGTGAGTTTTAAGTCACCAGGTCTGGGACTTGAACCATAGTCGACTGTGTAGGAGTCCAGCTACATAACCATTACACCATTGGCTGGCCTCAAGATGCCAGAAATTATTAAAAAATTAGATTAAATTGAATTTTACTAGATTGTGCATTCGAAGTATTTTAGAAAGATTTTTATGTCAAAAGTAAGACCTTCAGAACTTGGGATAGCATGCAGCTTTTAGAAAAGCTTTTGAAGAAGGCTTGTTTTCAACATGTTTTAGATAATTGTATTTAAAACAAAATTTGAATTATGAAAAAAAAAGTTCATTATGGTGGGACTTCAAAATGTTCATGGAAACATAGAGTTAGGGTTTAAGTTTATTTGGGTTCCAAAAAACCCCCTGAAATCCATGCATGTTTCTTTTCGTTAACTTTTTGAAGACTCTTCATATAATTAACCTGCAAATACCCAGTTTCAACAATTATCAACATACCCTCCTTGTCTTTCCATCTAACCTCTACTGGTCATGATTATTTATTAAACCATATCCTTTTCATCATTAGCTTATAATGACTTTATCACATATTTCTAAAAGGTAAGGACCCTTTAAAAAGTAAGTCTAATCCATTACCATACCTAAAACGAAACAATGAAAATATTTCTTAATATTTTTAAACATTCAATCAATGTTAAAATTTCTCCCAGCTGTCTCATGAATGTTTCTTTGCAGTTCAAATCAGAATCCAAATCAGGTTGGCATATTGCTTTGGGTAATCTCTTAAATCTCTTTTAATCGAAAACGGTTTCTCCTTTTTATTTTTATTTTTTTCCATTTGCCAGATTTTTTAATTGGGGATACAAATTTTGTTGATTGCATCCCCTTGTGGCAGTTTAACAAGTTTGTGTCCATCCCCTATCTTTCTTATAAGCTGGTAGTTTTTGCTGGAGGCTTGATTGGATTCAAGTTTGCCTTTTTGGTAAAATACTTCCTAGGCTTTTCTGTATACTCCCGATTGCATCATGTCGGGAGATGCATAATGTCTGGTTATCTCTTTTTTTGTGATACTTAGACTGATCTACGGGATCTGGGATTGTCAGTCCACCTCTTCATGTTAAAAGTCCTCATTAGCCTTTCATGTGACACAGTGGTTTTCAGCCCTGTCTGCATCTGTGAAGCTTTGACACTTACTGATGCCAGGCCCCATTTCCAACAGTTGGTCCAGGGTAGACCTGAGCTCAGTCATTTTTTGAGTTTTAGGTGTTTCTTTGTTCATGTTTTTTTTTTTTTAACATATATATATATATTAAAATTTGCATTTAATCATCATATTTTTTTCAGCATGTAATGCAGGTTTTCAAAGCATAAATGTTGCATGTCAAGTACCTCAAAGATGTTACTGTACACAATAACTTTCCATTCTTGTGTCTGTTAAATGATTTTTTAGATAAAATTATTTATTTATTATTTATTTATTTTTATTTGACTAGAGAGAGACAGACAGACACACACACACACTCACAGAGAAAGAGAGAGAGAGAGAGAGAGAGAAAGCAAGCCACCCAGTCTGAGACTTGAACCGTATTCCACCAATTGAGAGTCCAGTGCCCTAACCACCACACCACCTGCTGGCCCCTCAGTGTTCTTTTTTTTAAAAAAAAAACTTCTTTTTCTGAGTCCCTCTCTCCTATCCCCAACTGTGCACCCTCTCCTATACAATCTCTAGAATCTACACTCGCTGTCTCTGCTATTACATCTTCTAGTCTTTCAGTTTCTGCCGTAAAGTGCAGTTGGTATATACTGAACGGGGATATGTAAAGTGTGTCTTTTATAGTCTGGCCTGCTTTGCTTAGCATTAAACCTTCTATGTTCATCCACGTGTTTTCGGTGTTTCTAACATACAGATGGGTCTGAGACCCACTAGCTTGTCCAATTTGGTAGATTTTCCTAGGGATCGATTATTTCAGAGGGTGATATTAAATGGTGATGCTCCACATGCTTTCGGCAGAAACTTCTATAAAAACTTGCACAGAATCTTAAGTTCTCTCTTTATTTTTGCACAGGAAAGGTAGGATAAATAGTGGATTCTTATCTCTTTTCCAAATAGAGTCAAGTATCCAACACACTACAAAGGTGACCAGGGAGTTTTGTTAAATATTATTCTGAGTTTATAGATTTTAGCACTTTTGATGTTTCAAACCGGTGCCTTTATTATTATTACTATTTTTTAATGCTCAAATTGTTTAAATTTTAGCCAACAGGAGCCCTTTAAAGTTAGCTTACGGTCCTGTCACATTTCTGACAATGTTTATTTGCTCACTGGTAATATTTAATTGCTTCCTTAATTTTAAATACAGCAGTGTGTTTACACTCACCTTATGTGTTTAATAATTAAGTTATCCTGTGACCTCATTTTGAGCAATTTCTGTACTGAACCTGGAATCAACCACAGTTAATGGTCTAATTTTCTGTGTTGTATTTAATGGTGTTCTATTTGGTGACTATGACATGATAATAAAATGAAATGGCAGATACTTATATTAGTGATAAATTACAACAGGTTATAAATATTGGGTTATCAGAAAAGTCGTAATGTATTTTTGCAATGTTTTGCAGTGAAAAAAATGCATCATGTCTTCTCCAATGACCCAATAGTAGTGAGGAAAAGCATACATATTATGTAATTTTAAAATGATTAATCTTGCAGTGAATTTTGCATGAATCCTTGGTAACTGGCTTTTATTTGTTTATCCTCAGTTAATGTCCATCAGTGTGTTGGCAGTTTCTGCTTGGATGAGGGACTACCTAAATAATGTTCTGACCTTAACGGCGGAAACAAGGTAGGCTTTATAATTAATGATTGATTTCTTTCATTAGGTTTCCTCAGATGCTGGTTTTCAAAGTAACTTTGAAAGACTGGAGGACATAAAAGCATTGAAAATTGTTATAGACATTGGGGACAAAGTGGAAGGAGAGTGGGAGAGGGGGAGAGTGTAGGGGAAGAAATCTTGGGGGGGGAAATAGGGAGGGAAGACATTTGTGGGACATGGGTATAGTTTATTACCTGTTGATGACGATGTGTATAGTATTCTCAACTGGACTGGTCTGCGGTGCATATCATGATGGGTCAATTGAAAAAAAAATCTAAATTATGTGGGACCAGCAGTTGGCGTAATGGCTATGTCGCTGGACTCCCACGTAGTCGACCGCGGTTCGTGTCCCGGACCCAGTGGCTTAAAACTCACGCCGGGCACGTGTGCGTGCGTGCCCAAGATCCCAAGAGGAGAATGGAGGAGAAGGGATTGCGGCGTGACCATCCCCCCTGGGGGGTGATTTCTCGCTTTCTGTCTCTCTGTCTCTCTCTCTCTTTCTTGTCAGTACACGTGCCCTATAGCAAAAACAACTCAAAGAAGAAAAAAAGAAGAAAAAATCTAAATGGTGTATAGTAATTGAATGTATAAATAATAATAAGTAATAATAATAAAGAAGTAACTTTGCCCCAGCTATTTCGATGGTAGTGCTCTTCCACAATTATTTGGAAAAAATTTTCTTGTGGTGGCAAACTTTGTCTCAGATACTTGTATATTCTAGCGTTCTCATGAAGGTGTTCCAAAGGTCTTAGAGGGGAGCAGGTGGCAGTAGGTACAAACTGGACATTTCCGGGATGGCAAACAAAACAGAAACGAAGTAAGCAAGCCAAAAAGCACAAAAAGAGCACAGTGATTTTGAAAAATCACAGTGTAGTCACTGTCTTGATGCATGATGATCTGAAGAATTATTAACACAAATCACATTTGTGTCTTGAACTACGTTTTGGGTGCATTTTTTTTTTTAAATTTGACATTCTTTTTTCTCTTCCAGGGTGGAGGAGGCCGTCATCTTGACTTACTTTCCTGTGGTTCATCCGGTCATGATTGCTGTTTGCTGTTTCCTTATAATTGTGGGGATGTTAGGATATTGTGGAACAGTGAAAAGAAATCTATTGCTTCTTGCATGGGTATGGTGTTTATATCTTCTCTTTGTTGTAGTTAAAAAGACCAACCAGTAATGTATTATTTTTTCATTAGTCCACAAGATTAGGAAACTGTGATAGCAGTAACTCTAATCTATGGTAATTGTTCAACATCCTGTGGGAAGGGAAGCTTTCTTTTCACGAGAGATGATTTCAATACACATATTTGCTGTGCTCAAAAGATGAGGTACAGAATTACGAGAGGACTTCAAGAAGTGTGTGAAAGAATAGAATTAAAGTGTGCGTTTATTTTTGTGCAAAAACATTTCTGAAATTCACTCATCGTTTTTTCAGCTATGCATTTTCCATGAACATTTTGAAGACTGTGTACACTGATTATTTCATTCCAGCTGTGTGCTGACATTTTCCCTTGAAAGCATGAGTTTTTCTAGTGTCATTGAGCTTATTGGGATGAGAACTGGAGAGTCATAATGAATCTCTGTTTCTTTCTTTCTTTTCTGTTTAAAAACAAACTCAACGTATAAAGCCATGTGGAAATTCGATGGCAAGGTAGAAGACATAGATTATAATCCTGGCACTGCCTCTACTAAGTTTAGTGGACATAAATAAGTGCGTCTCAGTTTCTATAATCTTGAACCAGCAGTTAGCGTAATGGCTATGTCGCTGGACTCCCACGTAGTCGACCGCGGTTCGTGTCCCGGACCCAGTGGCTTAAAACTCACGGCGGGCACGTGTGCGTGCGTGCCCAAGATCCCAAGAGGAGAATGGAGGAGAAGGGATT